TTACTAGATTTCATCACATTCCTATTTAAATCAATAGGAAACAGATGCCTAAATACTTCTGAGGATCTATGCTTAGGTGCTTACATTACCTTTGTAAATGGGATTTGTCTTTTGAATTGCTTCTGAAAAATCATTTATTTGAATTTAGAAAAATATCTGTAGATCTTCCTCCTACACCCTTTTAGCTGAATTCAAAGTCTTTGGCTTTTGGATCAGGCCTTGATGCCTCTGTGGTAACTAAACACATAAAAACTAATATAAATGGTTGCTAAAAATATCTATCAATAACCCCCAGCCCTCAACAATTTCTCTGCAGCCTAATTAAAAGGATTTAATCAAGTGCTTTCAGTTTGGTAAAGGATGTTTATAGAAGCTGCAGGCCAAGTCTTTGTCTGCATTTGGGTTTTCCTTTCTTGTCTAAACTGAAAAAAAAGCTGAAAGAGAAAGAGCCTCATCTGCTGGAGGCTGCATGGCCCAGTGACATTGGTCAAGCTGAATCCATTTATGCCAGCTGGAGATCTGGCCTGAACTCTGACTACAGGATTAACACCCTCCACTGTGCCTTTGGCTTTAACTCCTGGTTGACTATGAACTGTACTTATGAAAAAGGAGGAATAAATATTAGTGTTTGTGCTAGTGTAAAACCCACTTGCAGAGTTGATTAGAGGCACTCTATACATTTGTGTGCGTGCAGCTGCATATTTTTTATTGCAGTAATTTTTTCCTTAACGATCCTCATTTTTTTTCATTAATATTGTTGACAAAGCCTACAGTGCTTGAAGCTTATCTAATTATTTTTCACAGCTGACTGACAGAGCTCAAGAAGTTCATTACTTACTTCATCTATTGTCTCAAAGATGCCTGTTGCAGCCCCGCGTCCAGTGGCAAAAGCCTCCAAACAAGGAGAAGCTTGACCGAGATTTAAAGCACCTATTAAGACTCCAAAGAAAACCTGAAAAAGACAGAGAAGATTTTAAATAGCCTGAAGTGGACTTTTTATATACCTTACAAAACAACCTGGTATAGAATCTGAGTAGCAGTTAGATATAGGCTGGATATGTTGGAGACTAGCAAGCAGAGGAGACACCTAAACCACGTGAGAATGTCAGAACAGCATGGCAACGAGCTCCAATGTCTGTGTGCGGGCCGGGAGCGATCCGGGGCCCTTTTTTCGCGCCGCGGGCTGTGGCCAGCAGCCTGGACACGCTGGGTTGGAGAAAGCAGGCGACACGCTAGAATTAGGCACAGACGCGTAATGGTTGATTCAAGATTGTTTACTTACACCGTAGATGGTTGCGGTGTAGGCTGGACAGTTTCCCAGGCAAAGCTCCGCTTAAATCCCCAGTTTGAGGACTCGGACAAAAACTTTCACTCACACGGAGTTGTCGAAGCTCCGTGGATCCTTTTTACGCGCAGGGAAGAGGGATACGTCGAGGATTGCGCTTGGCGACGGGGAGAAGAATCGATAGGTGATCAGTCTATCGATCGGCAGCCGCAGGTCAAACCTCCGTAGAGGCACTCTGCAGCGTGCTCAAAGTTCTTCTGATGTTCGTGGAGTCCTCCAACTTGGGCGGAAACCACTCAAGCCTCTTATACGGCTAGCAAGCCAATCGCTAGCCGCCACGTGGGAATATTTTAACACTAGCCAATAATGGGGCTCGAATTTTAATACAAATGGTGGGAACTCCTTGCAACGTGCATTTCTATGCTGCAAAGAAGAAATGCACCCTGCAAAGAAAGCTTCAAACGGCGGGAAAATAATTCAGTGGTGCCAAAGCGCGCACAAAACAAAAATCACACCTTTGGGTTGTGACAGTCTCAAGTTTTAAAAGCAGCATGGAGTAGCTGTATGTTTAAGATAAATGACTAGCAGCAGCTTTGAACCAAAACCCCTGTGTCTGGAACACTGTGGATGTCCACGTGAAGATTGATGGTTGTATGACAAATGAACCTGGAAACCTTGCTGTGAAGGTAGGTTCCAGCCACAGAGAGTCCTTCCTCCTCCTGATGGAAAAGTAGTGCATGTGAAAATGAATGCCCCTACTGCACCTGCCCATGCTTGAATTGAGCAACAATGGGATAGGCTAGTACCAAGCATCTTTGCAGAATGCTGTAACCGTGTCAAGGATTGTGTCTGAGATGTTGCATTTCTGCTGCATCATACTATGTTTCTCCTCTGGTTTTCTACACAAGTGCTCTCCTCAGCCCTACCCAGTGAGTTTCTCCTAGTTCACCCCCAAATGCTGGCTAGAAAGCAAAGGAGTTAATTTGCTGGTCATGCCTTTCTGAAAAGCCCGGGAAACTCTCCTTTGGCTCCAGATTTCAGATATTATGACACAAAGGGATAATCACTAGAGAATGCAGAAAGCTGAGAAGAGGATCAGGGGGTTAGAGACACCATGCTCCAAGGCAGGGTGTGTGTAGATGAGTCCAGAATGCTGAAGGAATTAGTTAAAACTTGATTTCTTTGAGACCTGCAGATATTCATGACCTTTGGATATTGGGTCCTAAATTTATTTAGGCTCCTAAGTTTATATTATATGTGTCACTGTAGAGATCCCACTCCAATTATGTTGGTAATTTTGATTGGCATTGGGGAGCTAAAATATAGAAGAAAAATAAGTCTTTTTCCTTCACTGTTCTATTATACAGTACTACAATGCAGTCATGTTAATACATTATTTACATGGTTTTATTTCTAGGCACAGGGCAGCAATATATTCTAGTTTAACCTTATGAATATTCTTCTCCTTACGTACTACAGAAGTTGCTTCCCTTAGAATTAAAAACTTTCTTTCCAGGACTGACTTTGATTTATACCATCCCTTCTGGACTGCTATCACCAGAGAGATAATTTGACATAGATCAGATATTTGCTGTCTCATATGTCCTTTGGTTTTACCTTTCATGCATTTTTACTCTAATATGACCAATACATTTGGAAATAAAATAAAAATGTTAAAATGAAGGTGTGTAACTCTTTAAATTAGTTTGGCGATTCCTGTGAAATTCTACCAAAAGGCAGTCAAGGACTCTCAGTCCTATGAATTAAGACAGGCAGGCAGTTGTAAAGGACATTCTGCCAAGGGTGTAGCAGGTGAGTGGTATTGCCATAGAAGAACGAAAATTACTCAGTGCCTAATTCTTTCACTTACATCAGCATAAATAAAGAGTAATTTCACTTCCAAAGCAGGGGAAAATGCACCTGCACTAATTAGCTCAGCCGAAAATCAAGACTTATTATCCTTGGAGCAGTGCCATGCTAATATGGCTATATTGCTTTTGGTTCCAGTACTAGCCCATGAAGAGCAAGCACAAGTATCTCTGCCAAGTGCTGCCTTGTGCTGTGTAGACTTTGGTATGCAGATTAGTATATTCAAAGCTGGTACTGGGTGAGTATCTATGTGGGCATTAATATGGAGCAGAAGGTATGATGTAAATTCACACCCTAATTTGCTGCTTACTATTTTTTTCATTTAGACAAGCCCTGAGTCAGTTAAGTTGCACTAATTTTAAGATCAAGGATAATAAGAAATCCTATTTTAAATACATAGGTGGTAAAAAGAAGGTTCTGGGTAACTTGGGGCCTCTGCAGGACATGCTAGGAAATCTGGTGGTCTCGCCAGACGACAAAGCTAACCTATTTAACAATTTCTTTGCCTCCATTTTTCTGAGCAGGGACCAGGTCATCCCCCCCACCGGGATCCCCAATGATCCCAGGGGAGGTACAGCCAGGCCCAGGGTCAGAGAGGACCTAGTCAGGGAACTTCTGGTGGGACTGGACGTGTTCAGATCAGCAGGTCCTGACGATTTCTACCCCAGAGTGCTGAGGGAATTAGCAGAGGTCATTTCGGGACCCCTGGCATGGCTTTACGAGCATTCATGGTACTCTGGCAAGGTGCCAGAGGACTGGAAAAGGGCCAATGTGGTACCCATTTTCAAAAAAGGGAGGAAGGAGGACCCAGGAAATTATAGGCCTGTTAGTCTTACCTCGGGCCTGGGGAAACTCTTTGAGAAAATTATTCAGGTGCACATCTGTGAAGGGCCAGCAGGGGAGTGTATGCTTAGGGGCAACCAACATGGGTCCATTAGAGGCAGGTCCTATCAGACCAATCTGGTAGCCTTCTATGACCAGGTCACAAAATCCTTGGATGCAGATGTCGCAGTGGATGCAGTCTTTCTGGACTTTAGGAAGGCCTTCGACACTGTCTCTCACCCCGTTCTCATTAAAAAATTAGGAGATTGTGGTGTTGATGCCTACACAGTCAGATGGGTCACCAATTGGCTAGAGGGCTGCACGTAGAGAGTGGTGGTGGACAGATCATTTTTGACCTGGAGGGATGTGGGCAGTTGGGTCCCCCAGGGCTCGGTCCTCAGGCCCCCACTGTTCAATATCTTCATCGGTGATTTGGACAAGGGGGTGAAAAGCACCTTATTCAAATTCACAGATGACACTAAGATGTGGGGAGAAGTGGGCACGCTAGAAGGGAGGGGCAAGCTGCAATTGGATCTGTACAGGTTACAGGGGTGGGTATGAGAATAAGATTGGATTCATTACTGACAAGTGCAGGGTACTGCACCTAGGGAGAAAGAACCAGTAGCATACCTACAGGCTGGGGAACTCCCTTCTCGTCAGCACAGAGGTAGAAAAGGATCTTGGAGTCACTATTGATTCCAAGATGAACATGAGCCACCAATGTGGGGACGTGGTCAGGAAGGCTAACCGCACCTTGTCATGCATCCACAGATGCATCACGAGCAGGTCCAAGGAGGTGATCCTACCCCTCTATATGACATTGGTCAGGCCTCAGTTGGAGTACTGAGTCTAGTTTTGGGCACCGCACTTCAGGAGGGATGTGGAAAACATCGAGAGGGTCCAGAGGAGGGCCACTCGCATGATCAAGGGGCAGCAGGGCAGGCCCTACAAGGAGAGGCTACAAGACCTGAAACTGTTCAGCCTCCACAAGAGAAGGCTGAGAGGGGATCTGGTGGCTGTCTATAAACTGGCCAAGGGAGACCAGGAGGCAATGGGAGAGTCTCTGTTCCCCTGAGCACTACTGGGAATAACAAGGAATAACGGCCATAAGTTGACGGAGAGCAGATTCAGGCTATATATCAGGAGGCACTACTTCACAGTCAGGGCGGCTAGGATCTGGAACCAACTTCCAAGGGAAGTGGTGCTCGCTCCTACCCTGGGGGTCTTTATAGTTTCATAGTTTCATAGTAGCTAGGGTCAGGAGGGACCTGAACAGATCATCTAGCCTGACCCCCTGCCATAGGCAGGGATGAAAGGTGG